CCGGAAGCTGGGACCCCCCCGCGAGGCGAGGCCCTCGCTGGCCCGGGACGCGTCGCTCGGTCCCACGCCTGTTATCCGCGGCTCGATTACCTGGCAGGGAGCCGCCCCTTCCCGCGGTCCGCGGAGCCTGGCTGGGAACTCCGTCGCGCCATGTCCAGGGGCGTCCAAAGCGGGCGGTCCCCGCTCCGCAGCTCCCGTGCCTGGAGGGGCCTCCAGCCCTTCCCCTCAGGCATCTTGCAGGCGCGGGTCGTCGGAAACCTTCATGCAGTGGGGGCGGAGAGGGTCCTTCACGCTGCGTTCGCTTCCTCTCCTGCCCAATTTGGTTAATGCTGGGGACCGGGCCTAGGAAAGATGCCGACCTCCCTTCTCACGTGCGGTCTGGTTCCAAGGCCGCTCCCAATCTTATACGTGCCGTGTTTATGGCTCCTTGTAGCCCTAAAGTTAGGAGAACATCGACTCAGGATAAGATCAAGACATTCAGCCTCTGTCTGTATCTTGGAAACGGCACCCTGGAAACTTTGGAAAGGCCTGAGTGTCGAGAGAGTCGACGCAGGCTAAAGCGAACCGGGCCAGGCAGAACCGGGGGCTCCTCTTGATAAAAACACACACAACAGTGGGAAGCTTGGGCTGGTGGAAGACGTCATTCCATTGCTTAATTACAGACATTTGTGTTTTAAACCTTCTATTTTCTTTGTAGGTCTGGTGTTTTTTTTCCTGAGAGAGTGGACTGATCAGCGAAAATTTCAACTGCTAGAACATGACTTTCACAACTTTTCAGCAGGGTTCGAAGTACAGTTTGGGGTGTCTGGTTCCCTTGATTAGGTTTGTAAAGCTATTTTACGGAGTCTAGGTCTTTCCTGGTTATATTTTGTTTTTGTTTTTTGTGTTTTGTTTTTGAGACGGAGTCTCACTCTGTCGCCCAGGCGGGAGTGCAGTGGCGCTATCTCAGCTCACTGCAACCTCTCCGCCTCCTGGGTTCAGGGGATTCTCCTGCCTCAGCCTCCCGAGTAGCTGAGACTACAGGCATGTACCACCACACCCGGCTAATTTTTGTAGTTTTAGTAGAGATGGGGTTTCGGCATGCTGGCCAGACTGGTCTCGAATTCCTGACCTCAGCCCCCCAAAGCGCTGGGATTGCAGACGTGAGCCACTACACCCGGCACATACTGTATTTTTCATTGCCGTATTTTCAGCAGCAGCCAACAGACCTGATGGTGATTGCCTTGGTTTCCTCCAGGGTCCCCAGGATGGTAGGAACCCATCCCTGTCATTTATATTGGCTGCTGCTAAGGAAGGCTTGGGTTACAGGGCAAGTCCCTGCCCGGGCAGCTTCTCCCAAGCACCAGAGCTCTCTGGCAGAGTTCAAAGCCCTCTCTCCAGTCCCTGGTCCTAACTACTCCAAGGCTTTCAGTCATCCCTGTAGGAGGGAACTGTTGTCCTCCTCCATACTCCTTTCAGCACACACAAGCCCTACCTTGTAACTGCGGGCTAAAGGTAAGATACAAGTCATGAAGAATCTAGAACCGCCTCAAAACACAAGGCCTTTGACACATCACAGAGTAAAATATTGCCTTACGCTCCTTGGCTCTGTTCAGAAGCCTTGGTTCGTCCTGCCCTCAGCATTTTGTAAATGGGACATCGTTTCCCTTTGGGGGTTTATCCATGTCTGAGAGTTTCTTCTGCTTAGCCAGGGGCAGGCAGGGATGTGGCTCAGTCAGGCAGCCCAGTCCTGTTGGTTATGAGGTGTCTGTTCTGGTCCCACCTTGGCCTGACCCTGGGAAGCCAGCTTCTCTATCTTGAATAATACTCCCCAAGCCTAGAAGTTGGTTCCTCCTTCCACGAAGGAGTCATGAGTCCGATGCTTAGAATGGTAAAGAAAAACAAGGCATAGCACAATAAAATTAGTGGATATTTATGGAACACTCTATGTGCCAGGCTGTTTTAAACACTTCACACATATTAAAGCATTCAACCCTCCCAACAACCCTGTCACATACATGCTATTTACACCCCAATTTTACAGTTAAAGAGACTGAGGCACAGAAAGAGCACTCAACTTTGAGTTGGACAAATCAAAACCCTAAGCAGCTATGTAACTTTGAACTAAGCCCTTAGAAACTGTCTCCGTTTCCTCCTCGAAAATAGCCCAGTCTCCAATGGTTATTGCAAAGATGCAATAAGTGAATCAAGACTCTTTTGTCTGTTTTGTTTTTGAGACGGAGTCTCACTCTGCCGCCTAGGTTGGAGTGCAATGGTGCGATCTCAGCTCACTGCAACCTCCACCTCCCGGGTTCAAGCGATTCTCCTGCCTCAGCATCCTGAGTAGCTGGGACTACTGGCCCCGGCCACCACACTCAGCTAATTTTTGTATTTTTAGTAGAGACAGAGTTTCACCATGTTGGCCAGGCTGGTCTCCAACTCCTGACCACAGGTGATCTGCTCGCCTTGGCCTCCCAAAGTGGTGGGATTACAGGCGTGAGCCACCACACCAAACCAAGACTCATTTTTAAAATAATGTTGACCAGAGGCAGAAGAGAAAGGGATAGAAGGTAGTTTAGAAACTTCTAGATCTAAGAGACTTTTTGTGAATTAATTGAGCTAGAGTTCCACAGTCTACAGTGTAATCACCTAGTGTGAACAATTTTGGAAACACCCCGGGGCAAGGGTGAGATAAGCAGCTAAGCCCTGGGAGCAGCCGACTCTAGAGGGGCTGAGTCCTGCATTCCTCTATGGTTCTTCCCTCACTCCACTTGGCTCCCTTGCCAAAGATCTGGACCAGGGAGAGTGCCCGAGGGAGAAGGCAGCTCAGATAGGAGGAAAAATCCAGAAGTGACTGACATCAAGAGAGCCATAAAAATGTTTTCAACTTGAAAAATGGTCTGGGGAGGAGTTGCACAGTGTGCCTAGGGAAATCACATGCAAATACCACACGTGCTTTGTGGAAATAGCCTTGCAGCACCCTATCCATTTCCACACTGTGGATGCAGCCCTTGGGAGAATCCCAGCAGACAATACAACATCCAAGGGTCTCAGGGGTTTTCTCTAAACAACCCTGGAAGGCAAGGGGCCAAGCCAAGTATTTTTATCACATTGAAGCTCTTCTTCTGTAAGTTGGGTCTAAGGGAGAAAGGAGAAGGGTGGGGGAAGCATGGGGACAAGTAATTTTTAGGTGAGCTTGTCCCTTTGAACTTTTCATTTTGTTAATGTTGCTGTCCTGGTTTCAGCCCAGATGTACCATTTTTACCCTTGTAACATATGCAAGGATTAGCTTAGTACAGGAAAGGAGTGAGGGAGCCTGCAGGTGGAAACTGACAGACACGGCCCTGTAGCACAGCATTCCTGAGGCAGTAGGGTTGAGGAGGCAAACCAGTATCTCCGGTGACCTGAAAGAGCTAAGAAAGGTCCCTGCCTTTGGGACAGGAAGATGAGAGTCTTGGCTGTTCTTAATGAGTACTAGCTCTCTCCAGAAGATAGGGCCCAATCAGCCACACATGGGCCCGATCCCTCTTTTAGTCCTGGACATGTGGCTTCGGTGGATTGAAGCCAAAACCACCAGCAGAGAATGTCACATCCTGCTCCAGATCAGTGGGCTAGGCTAACGTCGACAGAATAGTCTGATCCTAAATGCTTTGGGGCCCTGCAGACGGTTCCTCTGGCAACCTAAGGCTCCCTGTAGAGGAAAATAATCTTGTCCGTTAGGAAATCCACAATCAGGCTTTCATATTTTGCTTTTTACCAAGTGTGAATTCCTCATTGTTAATTTCATCCTCCATTCTGGGCTGCCAACAAAGAAGAGTTGTTCAAATGGATGCAGACTCCAGTCCAATTTGTAGCCTCTTAATCTATTTTTCAAGTTAAGGCTAAAATGAAAGGTGATGTTTACACTGCCCAACGTGGTGGGGATAAGGGGAGGTGAGTGGAGCACCCAGAATGTCAACTTGAAGAAGTTCTCACTCTCAGCTGGGCGCAGTGGCTCACGCCTGTAATCTCAGCACTTTGGGAGGCCGAGACGGGCAGATCACGAGGTCAAGAGATCGAGACCATCCTGGCCAACATGGTGAAACCCCATCTCTACTAAAAATACAAAAATTAGCTGGGTATACTGGCATGCACCTGTAGTCCCAGCTGCTTGGGAGGCTGAGGCAGAAGAATCGCTTGGACCGGGGAGGCGGAGGTTGCAGCGAGCTGAGATCAT